ACAACTTTGCAATACACAGAATTTCCACAGTCACTAACTTAAACACAAGTTATAATTCACAACGATTCACGCACTTTACTTACGCTCACTTGACTCAATTATCTGTCTCTATATCTCTCTTCAATCTGCTATTATCTCCGCTTTATTTGCCGGGCTTATATATTAAAATAGAGGGCGCCTGGAAAAGGCTAGAGTTGCCAAGAAAAGTCATGATCCTTCTATAAACTCATGACGTGTTACTAGCGTCACGTGACTTCCGCTGTCGTAACAGTATGTTACTATTGTCATTAAGCTGATAAATTCAAGTTTTTTGGCATTTCACTCAAACTTTTAATTAAAGTATTATACTACATGTATATATTAATAGTTTCATATAATCTCTATCTCTCATCGTCCAGCACAATTGACGAGTTCTGGTATTCAACGAAAAGCCTCTTGGGCATTAACTTGTGTGAGACAAAAGATTGATCTGAAATTATCTTTTTACATGCATGTAATTTTGAATCCACAATGGGCAAATCAAATTAAATAGAAAAACACACCTGCAGTTAACGTGATTTTGATTACAATTTTTAAGCCTATTGACTAATGTTTTGCCAGTTTTTAGCACTTGTACCGTAACTTGTAATTAAAGATGCAGTGGTTTATACGTATATCTGATCCATTCTTATATCGCTTAAATATGCGATCTTTCTAAACGTGTGATTTATCAAAATTTATTGTTTAATAGCCGATTTTGGAACTTGAAAAAATTCCGAAACGTTCGTAATTAAAGATGTTTTTTGGTATTACAGTGTTTCAAATATTTATTGTTGAACTTTCTTTTCCACTTGATGAATCAGTTGTATTTATATTGACTGTACAGTTCTGCATAAGAGTAGAAATAAATTATTTGGCTTGATATCCTTCGAAACAAACCAAATTCAGAAAAAAATAAAAAAGCTCAGTTTTCCTCGATTAAATATAGTAAATAGAAAGGACAAAAGCTTGTAGCCTTATAATGTGTGTAACAAAACATACTGTAGCAGTGTAGTTCTTTTGTAGACGGGTTATTTTAAATTATCTGGTGAAAATTATTTAACGTCCAGTCTAGGTAACAGTAATAAATCACTTTATTTCTTCATTTAATGTTTCTATAAACTTGAATATTTGTACACTACCGTAAATTACTGTAGGGCTACGTTTCAAATGACATTAACGTAAAACAAACGAATTTCCTTATACAAAGTAACCGTTATAGCTTGTAAGATAGCAAATTCTACTTTTGTTATGGTTTCGTTAACCGTTCATTTATTATTCCTTTTATCGTTTAGTTCCACTTTGAATTTTTAGTTATATTAAAGTGCTAACTCACCATCTAGCTAGAGCACGTGGAATTTCAGTACATATATATTATGAAACTGATACATGCCTTCCCTAGCGATGCCGTACATATATGAATGTTATAAAACACTATGTAAATTCGCTAATCACATGAGATGTAACCTCGTGATCTAACCACTGAATATAAACCCTGCCTTGAGATTAAACAAGTTAGTTCACGAGATGTGGTTAAAATGTATTATTGGTGATTGTTACTCAATATTTGTGTTGAAATCGTTTAAATTTAGAATATTGTTTGTTTTCTTTTCGGAATGGGTTTTTTTTCTTCTTCTGGTTCTTTTTCCTAATTCCTTTATTTATTGAAATAATTATTAACATTG